GTCGGGTGAGTGGCCACTTCTGCAGCTGCCCTGGGAAGGCCCTGGGTGGAGGCCGGGCTGAGCACCCAGCCTGAGTGACAGGCAAGGCTCCGTGGCAGGTGCTAGGTGGGCCGGCACCCCCAGCCCGGGTCACTGCACATCTTGGGTTCCACTGGCCAGTTTGGGWGGTGTCAGTGGCCATAAACAGGTGACCAGAAAACACCCCAGTGTCACTTCCCGAGGCTCTCTGAGGATATGGCAGGTGACATCCTGGATCCATAGGACTGTGGACCTTGTTCCTCCACCACCACCTCCACCACCATCATGGACTATGGGCCTTGTTCCTCAGGATGGTGCCCAACCTTCCTCAGGCTGCCCCAGGCCATGGGTACTGGTCAGAGCACCCCGGGGCCTGGCTGCCTCTACTGATGCCCCCTCGTCAAAGGCACCTGGTCAGGCCCCTCCTTTCTGCCCCTGCAGGAGGCCCAGCGTCGAGCCCCAGCCCTGCTCTGTGCGGGGGCCCTACTGCGTGGATGAGAACACCGAGCGCAGAAACCACTACCTGGACCTGGCTGGGATCGAGAACTACACCTCTAAATTTGGCCCAGGTAGGTGACGGAAGACCCTGCCCCACCTGGGCCCAGGTGCTAGCCAAGCGGAGGGCTCTGGAACCCCCACATGGTTGGGGCCAAGGGTGCCCCACCCACTCAGAGGACCTGGCCCACTCCTCTGCACCAGCCGGGCCTGGAGCAAGGCCGTGCATGTCCAGGTGTGCATGATGTACCCAGCCCTGGAGAGGCCAGACCTCGGGGGATCCAGGAAGCCCTGCCCCATGGGGGAGGGGTGTTTTAGTGCAGAATCACCAGCTCCCTCAGAAGCCTCGGGCAGCCCACAGAGTGGACAGAAGCAGGCCTGCCCACCACTGGTTCCTTCTGACTCGTAGCACTCTTTGTGGCATTCAGTAKGTTGCCATGGTGCCTGGGCCCTGTCCTAGGGGTGACCTGGGTCCCCTGACACCCTGACTCTGGGAACCGACTCCCAGTAGAAGTCCAGGGCTGGGCTGCAGGGCCTGTGCCTGTCTGACCTCTGACCTGGCCACCAGGCTGGCCTTGGATGGGAGCCCCTGGTGAGGGCCCCCTGTGGACCTGGAGCACATGTCACTTCCGGGAAGAGGAGACAGGACTGACCCCTGTTCTGGGCCCCGCGTGGGCCCATCCTCTGTCCCCTGTCTGTAGGGCTGCCGGAGCAGGCCAGGCAGGAGCAGCAGGGCAGGGCCGCCTATCTCCAGAGCAGGTCCGGCTCCCAGGAGCCGGACACCCATGCTGCCCATCACCGCAGGTCCCAGACGCTGGCCGACCATGCCATGCCGGTTCCCGAGCCCACTGTGAGGGCCCTGGACATACAGCCCCGGCTGAAGGGGCAGGAGAAGCCGTTCCTCAGGTCCCCCAAGGGCCCAGGGAAGCCACTGGGGCTGGCAGGCAGCAGCAAGCYGGGGAAGGCCCTTGGCTACTACCTGCCGGCTGCCTCGGCCCCCCAGGCCCCTCAGGACGGCCACCACCTCCCACAGCCCCCTCCACAGCCCCCACCACAGCCCTACGGCCACAAGCGATACCGGCAGAAGGGCAGGGAGGGCCCCTCACCACTCAAGGCCCCGCACGGCCAGCCTGTGGTGGAGCACGAGGCCTGGCGGGACCTTCCGGCCGTGCCGGGGCCCGAGGGCTACGTGGTGCCTGTGGTCCAGCGGCACGAGCACCACCACCATCACCAGCACGAGCACCATCACCACCACCACCTCCACCACCTCCTCCTCCTCCCATCCTAGCTCCCGCCCCGCCCATGCAGGCACCTCCTCCTCCACCACCACCACCACCTCCACCACCTCCTCCTCCTCCCATCCTAACACCTGCCCCGACCATGCAGGTACCTCCTCCTCCACCACCTCCTCCTCCTCCTCCACCAGCAGGTCCTCCAAGACCACGTCCTCCTCCACCTCCTCCTCCTCCTCCACTACCACCTCCACCACCTCCTCCTCCTCCCATCCTAGCGCCCGCCCCGACCGTGCAGGTACCTCCTCCTCCACCACTACCACATCCTCCACCACCTCCTCCTGTCCTAGTGCCTGCCCTGCCCACCCTGGGCACCACCACTACCACCACCTCCTCCACCACCTCCTCCTCCTCCACCACCTCCTCCACTACCTCCTTCACCACCTCCTCCGCTACCTCCTTCACCCATCCTCCACCACCTCCTCTTCCACTGCCACCACCACCACCACCTCTTCCACCTCTACCACCTTCACCACCACCTCTTCCACTACCTCCTCCTCCACCACCACCACCTCTTCCTCCACCACTATCTCCACCACCTCCTCCATAATCACCACCTCCTCTTCCTGTCCTAGCGCCTGCCCTGCCCACCCCGGGCACCACCACCACCACCACCA